CCTTTAGTCGCGGTTGGCCAGAAGAACCGCGACTAAAGGTCCTCCGCCCCGACGGCCACCTGGCGCCCACGTGGACGGGCCTTTAGTCGCGGTTCTTAAGCAACCGCGACTAAAGGGGGGGGGCCTTTAGTCGCGCCCGTTCGGTCGCGGTTGCGCAACCGCGACTATTGGCAGTTGCGAACCGCGACCAAAGGCCCTTTTTCCACCAGTGCCTATATTACCGCAAGCGATACATTTGGGAGTAATAGAATTGATAACCCATTTTGGAAATTTAAGCATAGACATATCAAGTAAGCAGGTATACTGGTGATACATGATCGTAGAAAGGTGGGTTTGCCCCTATAAGACATATTTTTAACCTAGTCATCTAGATATATTCTTAATGAATCTGTCCATGACATGCTGCAGATCCTCTATTTTCAGCTTGTTAAAATGTAGGGGAACCCCCAAATTTTTGAAAGGAAATGAACCATTTTACAGCAGAAAAAAATTGAGCATAGAAGTTTGCCTGCTCAGCATCCACATTAATAGTCAATATGTCACTTTTATGGAAGCTGGTTTTCATACCATAAAGGCTTTCCAAACAGGAAAGAATCCCTTTTAGGTTTCTGGCTTTATCCATAGACTTCTTAATGAAAAGGATGGTATACTAGAGGCTCACAATACCACCAAAATGACATGAGGTTACGTAAAAAAAATGACATGAGGATGAAGCGCAGAAACCGAATTATGGGAGCAACTTTTTCTAACATGAAGGTAACAAAATTACCATTTCAGGAAATATTTATCATTCTCGCTTGCTATTTATATACTTTGACACTTATGTGATTAATCCAACATTAACCGGACTTCTCGCAAAACTTTTGGCATTTACACCCAGCTTCACTATCAAGATTTCTCATAAAAGAATAATACATCTATATTTTTTTCTAAAAAATTCTCTCTCAACATAAAAGAATAATAGATCGCAAAAAAAACATAAAAGAATAAAACTTTTGGCATTTACACCCAGCTTCACTATCTGTGACTTGTGTTACACCCCTACAAGATCTAGTTCAAATATGTACAATCTTCCATTTTGCTACTCTTACTCCTTTACAGCGGTCCTAACTAAGCTCTGTGATGATCAACACTATGCACCCCTTTCCTCGGTGTAACTTGATGCTCTTCGGTGACGTTGTAGCGCGGTGGTATAAGGCCCGATGGCACCATCCCGTTGCAGCAAAATGTCGGCGTGTATCGTTGAGTTTGGGAACTTTTGCCGGTGCCGATCTTGGTGGCTCTGCTGCTTGTCCTCTACAATCTTCTCAACCTTCATGTCAGCCTTCCACTCGTCACCAATAAGCTTTCCTTTGCTCCCAACGTTTTTCTCGGTATTTTCCACTACGACTGTGAACACGAATGGACCCACTTGTAGGTAGTCGTCCATCTTGAGTATGGGCTCTAGGGCCTGAACGACCTCTTTCATGGTGGGCCTCAACTTTGAGTTTTGGCTCAAGCATTTGTACGCCACTCGTGCGGCCAGTTCGGCCCCCTGGCACGAGTACTGGCATTCCAAAGCCGGATCCATGACCCGGTGCAGCTTGTCCTGCTTCTTGAGGTATGGCCTGGCATAGTCGACCAAGCTTTGCTCCCTGAAACGTCGAGCACGGTCAATGGACCGCCGACCCGATAATAGCTCGAGGAGCACCACGCCGAAGCTATAGACGTCGCTCTTGGCGGTCAGGTGCCCCGTCATGATGTACTCTGGTGCGGCATATCCATGTGTCCCCATGATACGTGTCGTGACATGGGTGGCGTCGCCGTTGGGCCCGTCCTTGGCGAGGCCGAAGTCTGACAGCTTGGCGGTATAGTCCTGAAATGCAAGAAGCAGATTAGGTTAGGCAAAGATAACTTGTGACAAACACAACTGGAGTGATATATGCATGTACTTAACATGACAACGTTCCTATCGTGCTAAGCTGTATCTGTCAGGCTGTTGCTTTGATACTGACATAATTGATTGTGGGTACAGATTTATTGATTGTGGGTAGGATTTATGTGAGAAATGGGCATCCAGGAACCTTCCAATTCCAAGTCCTAATCATGGCGCCGCTGGCTTTTCCAGCGAGGCCAGCTGTTTGAAACGGGTGTCAGACTTTGACATTCATCCGTCCACAAGTTGCTCTATTGCCAACTCGTGGTCAAGTCTCAAAAATGGTGAGATGATTGGATTAATCGGGCAGTTGAGTTGACTCACCGAGTCGAGCAAGATGTTGGACGCCTTGAGGTCGCGGAAGATGACCGGCGTGTCGGCGCCGTGGAGGAAGGCGAGGCCCTTGGCGGCGCCGACGGCGATCTTCATCCTCGTCATCCACGGCATGGGGCCGTCGATGCTTCTGAACAGGTGCTTCTCCAGGCTGCCGGTCCCCATGAACTCGTACGCCAGCATGCGGTGCTCCTCCTCGTAGCAGTACCCGACGAGCTTCACCAGGTTCTTGTGCCTCAGTTGCCCAAGGAAGAACACCTCCGCCTGCAGAATCAATCATGGAGAAGTTAGTTGGCGCAATAATGGAGGAGTTATTTGACAGCTCATGCATCCGTGCGTGCAAGTGCAACAATGGTGGAGTCAGTAGGTCGACTTACCAGCCACTCGTTATGGCCCTGCGAGCTGGAGTCGAGGTCAAGGTACTTGACGGCGACCGTCTGCGCCTCCAGGCCCGGCCGGAGCTCGGCGGCGAGCTGGCCCTTATACACGGGCCCGAAGCCGCCGCAGCCGAGGTACCTGGAGCGGGAGAAGCCGGCGGTGGCCGCCCTGAGCTCGGCGTAGGTGAAGGCGTGCAGGTTGGAACCCGACAGCGTCAGCGAGAGGTCCTCCGGCGTCAGCGTGCCCGTCGACCCCAGGCTGGACAGGGAGACCCTGGACGCCGTCGACGCGGACGACGACGGCAGCAGCGCCCTTCTGTCCCCTCTTCTCCTCCTCGGCGTGGAAGACGGCGACGGCCCTTCGTCGTCGGCATCGGCGGCAGCCCCCGCCCCTGCTCCTCCGACGCAGCAGAACATAGACCTCCACGTCTTTGGTGAAGCCATCGGTGACACGACCTCCGCGGTAATCGAAGATGGACCGCTCAATGCAAGAGCAAGAGACGGAAGAACTGGCAACGATCCTCTCGATGCAAAGTGGTTGGTTTCTTGGTTGAGCCTGTGAGTTGCGGTGTGAGGGTTTGAGGAGTTGAAGAGGAGATGGGGTTGGAGAGACTCGACTGGTTGACGACGAAGCATCGGTGGGCGACGGCGGGTATATAATGGCGGGCACGGGAGGGAACGGAATCGTGCGCGGTGTTGGCTTGCCTTGACCCTGTCGCGGGGCACGAAGAAGCCGCGACGCGCGGGCCTGCGAGCAGTAGCGAACAAAAAGCAGCAGACGAGTCGTTGAGCTTCCCGGGCTTGACTATTCACACCTTCCTCTCCTTTCCCTCGTACGGAACGGGCGGGGAGGGAGATGCCACGGGAGACCGGTAATCTGGAATCTGGTGCGTGGGCGCGTCACACCGCTTTACGTGCGTGACGCTGACCCGGCGCGCGACGGAACGGGTGGAAAACGTGAGGTTGCTTGAAGCGGGGCGCTCCGTGTCGATGCTGGCCGTGATTGACCGATCGGCGATGCAAATTAACTAGTGACAGATGTCAGGCCACGTGAAAACTCAACATATGCCGATCAGGCAGACAGCTGAATGTTTTAGTACGAGAGAGGATACTTGCCTCTTCTAGCTAGGTCCATGTTCTTCTGCTAGTAAAATGGTTTTCAGCCAGCAGCGCTGGGTGACAGTGGAAGCTGGTAAGGAAGCCGCGAGGTGCTACCTGAAGCTGGTAGAGCATGCAGCATCAAGCAGAATCTGGTTCCAGCAAATCTCGCCTCCCACCCACAGCAGAGCGGGTGCAACTTCCGGCCGGTTCTCGTGTTTATGCGCTCGTCGTTTTTCTGTTGATCCTTGCATGAATAATGACACGTGTGGAGGAGATCGGAGAATATTGAGTGACCAGATGATCGACAGGTTGGATGCAGAGATGCGTTGCACGCTCTGTGCTGATCGGCCGTACGTGCACAATACTCTTTTCTACGAGTACAATTTTACAGGTCAAGGAGTCGCGAGCAACTTGTGTTGCCTGTGCTTCGGAGGCACTTGCATTATTGCATTATGATGTTTGTCTGTGACAGCCCCACCCCTGGGCGCCTTCCAAGAAACTTAGCAACATGGTTATCATAACATTGCAGTTTTGCTGTTCTGTCCGCTAACCATAATCCAGCTTATATGTCGTCTTTATCGGTTGACGTTTTGGGCTGGACAATGTTTTTTTTTCTTTTTTCTTTCTTCTCGCAACTGTATTATACTACTTCGTCCTAAAATGTAAGGCGTTTTTTGACACTTAGTATGGTGTCAGAAAACATCTTATATTATGAGACGGAGGGAATAATAAGCGTGTCACGTATGAAGTGACATAGCATTAGCCTTGCACCATTGACCGTGAAGAATGTTGAGACTATTATGTCATTCTGGCATATCTTATCTTTTGACACCATATGCTTGCTCCCGAAGATTGGTCTACCTGCTTCCCTTAGCTTTTGCTAAAGAGAAAATACCAGGAAAACGCTGACCAATGGAATGGGTCTTGTTCTTATGCATGGGCTGACTCACATGGGTATATAGGTGTACAAATGTAGACACATTACTTTTACCAAAAGCAAATGGAGTGAATAAATATACAAAGCGTTTACGTATGTGATGTCCGTTGGCTGGCTTAGAGCATCTCCAACAGCCGCGCTTCGCGCCGTGCGCTAAAAACTAGTATGCCGTGCGCGCTTCGGCTGGTAGCGCGGCTGCCAGCGCTGGCTCCAACAGCCGCGCTATAATGCAGTGCGCGCGCGACGCTCCAACAACACGTAAAAAATGCAGCGCGTGCGACTCGCCGGGCATTGCATATATGGCATTTTGGACACAAAATGAGTTTGAAACATTCAAAATGCAATGAACATGACATATAAAATTTCACACAAACAAGTTGATGAATAAAAGTTCATGCCCACAAGTTCAAAATCATGCCCACAAGTTCATCCAACCAAGTTCAAAATGCAAACCAAGTTCAAGACACAAATGAAAGACACATCAATCCTCTTCCTCGTCTTCGTCCTCATCATCTTCCGAAGACGATTCTTCCGCCTCTGAAGATGAATCTTCCTCCCTCTCCTCATCACGCACCGCATCATGTGAAGCTCCGACGGCGTTGGCAATATCTTCAACGGCATTTTCATGGAAATGTGTGTGAGAAGGCACATCGAAAGACATTCCGCCCATGGCGGCCGGAGGTGCACCCATGCGTTCCATGTGAGAAGCAAAACTCATGCCTCCCATGGTGGCCATAGCATCGAGGCGTGCTCCAAAGCCACCCATGCCTCCCATGGAGGCCGGAGGTGCACCCATCCCTCCCATGGCACCTAAACCGCTCATGGTACCTCCGAAGCCACCGCCACCCATGCCGCCAAGGCCACCGCTAATGCCACCGCCAAGGCCACCGCCACCCATGCCGCCAATGCCACCGCCACCCATACCGCCAATGCC